ATAATATCTAGTAATTAATAAATAAGTGTATGAAAGCGATAATTTGGTATAATGTTCTCAACTTATGTCACGTTTCGGTACTCGAGTCGTCTCATGCATAATCCACATATTTGATGTAGACCACGTCGTATAAATTGCAAATTAGTTTATCATCCCGGGCATGTATTCTTCATCGTTGATATGCCAAACTCTTGTCACGCTCTTGTACACATTCTCATGAGCCGTTCAATGAGTTGAGCTCCGGCTCGTTTTCCGTCGCTCTTCTGTCGCGATATGTGTATATTATACATCCTATCCTGGCTTCTACTCTCAAGAGCCGCCCTCTACCTACCTAATGACTCTTACTGATTTTCGACGACAAATTTTACATACACTCGTTTTTACTCACACTTTTACGCTTTTTTCCGCATTAATTATTTCTCGAGAATTTTCTATAAAATATAAGAGACATTTTTTAGACTAAAATTTTATTATTATTATTACTAGCAACCTTGCAGTCACTATGTGACTGCCGTGACTTGCGAACTATAAATATAATAAAATTTTGCTTTAGTAAATAATGACTTTTGTTAAATTGCGCTGTACTTTATTAAAGATATAAGCTCATCCCGATGTTATACTCATCAAGAGCTTTCATTTGAGTACCCACATGCATTTTCATATATTTTTCATATATACATATATATATAATATATATGTGATATATGAAAAATTGATGTGGGTACTCAAATGAAAGGTCTCGATGGGTGTAATGTCGGGGTGAGCTTATATCTTTAAAAATATCATTAGTTGACAAGATAGCAATGTCAGTTCTTAATTATTGACATTTTTAAAGATATAAGCTCATACCGATGTTACACGCATCAAGAGCTTTCAATTGAGTACCCACATGCATTTTGGTATATTTTTCATATATACATATATATAATATATATGAAATATATGAAAAATTGATGTGGGTACTCAAATGAAAGGTCTCGATGAGTGTAATATCGAGATGAGCTTATATCTTTAAAAATGTCAATAGTTCACAAGATACAAGGTCATTTCTTAATTATAAATCTAGAGATAAAGCATTTTCGAATGCAGCCTAAATACTTATCATAATAAATTGACTATCGGTGAGATTGATATGAAACTTTGAAAAGTCACAAATTCAAACCATGACCTTGCCAATGACTTTAAATTTCACCAAAATAACCGATTTTATCATATGACTATCCTGGACACAAAATTTTTCTTATTCTCTTCATAATTATAGATTATTTATTTGTTTATTATTATCATTATCATTATTACAGTATTAATTACTGTTGATTATTTGTGAAACCAGAAGTTTCATTCATTAATAAGTCTGCTCGACCAACAAGTTTAATAATGCAAACAAATAAATAAATACGTAATATAGACGAAAAGTTTTCCTATAGTTATGTATCACACTGTTGCAATTATTAGTATTTAATGAGTACGAGAATAATGGCAAATTGAATTTCGAATTATCGAACTTTTATTAGTTAACAAAGTTATATTAATTAAGTTAATATAATATGCAATATGTGTTATTATTTAAATTACTTATCACAGACACTTAAATTTACCAAATCTTTAAAATACAATAGCAGTGAAGAGAAGAGTAACCCGTATTCTTGTGTAATATGATCCGCTTTTAAAATCAATTCAGTTTAAAGGCCTGTAAAAGTTGATTTTAAAGAGATTTAAGCGAAATTTAATACGCGCCCGCAGCAAGATGAGACTAAATATTTTTTATAGACTTACTGGAGGCTGTAAAATTCTTAAATGTCTTTTTCATAGAATGAGCCATCGTTTTAATAAAAAAAGTCATTAAATAGCTTCACTTTTTAACTTTACATTGAGATAAAAAATTTTTGTCATAATTAATTATAATAAAGATACATTTTCTTCATTAAAAATTTTCTCATCTCAATATTACACTAATAAAAGGAAAAGTTTTAAACAAGAATATATCTTTTGCTCCCACTCTCTTTCTCTCTGATTGAAGAAACAATTGCAAATTAAAAATCCTCGAACGAACGATAGCGATAAGTCAGCATTAAATCACCATCTAATCTGTAAGTTTAAAAACAAGAAAAGCCGATAATTAACAAAAGCAAACAAAAGTAATTTAAGCAAACAAAGTACTTTAAGCATAACAGGGAAAGAATTACATGGGAGTTCGAAACAAGTACAAAGCTACGGCTACAGATATAACAGAGATGTATAATTCTCTTTGGAATACAAGAACTTGATGAGAGAAGGCTCTCGAGAACAGAAACCGTCTACGGAATCCCCCTAGACATGACCCGACAAATGAGCCGAAGGATGCAAATCAATCCCACGACACTGGATTCCAAATTGTGCTAAACCGGGCGAGGCTAACTGTGGTTACATCCCTTTTACAATGAGCGCCCCAATTCCGCTGAGGGTTTCTCAGTACAACATTTCTCCGGGAGCGGGTTACATTGCTCAACGCTGATGGTGCCAACAAACTCGCTACCAACGCTGATACATCTGTATGTGGCTAAATTTGCAACAGATCTTTAAGTGTATCAGAGAAGGAATACACACTACAGTTCTTGTAATGTAAGCGGATGAAAAAATTTTTATATTAAGATGTATAAAAAAATTACATATGCACATATAAGGTCGTTAGAAAATTTTTCCACGGGTTATTATTTAATTTTTGTATTGATTAACGATTAAAAAAAAAAATCCATTGTTCGTAAAAAAATTTTTTTGTTCAATTTCACTCTTTGTAAAATTATAACTACTGGCAACCTTGCAGTCACTATGTAATCTATAAATAAATAAAATTTTATGTTATTTAATAATGACTTTTGTTAAATTGCACTGTACTTTCTTAAATATTGACGTTTTTAAAGATATAAGCTCATTTCGATGTTACACTCATCAAGACCTTTCATTTGAGTACCCACATGCATTTTGATATATTTTTCATATATACATATATGTAATATATATAAATATATGAAAAATTGATGAGGGTACTCAAATGACAGGTCTTGATGAGTGTAATGTTGTGGTGAGCTTATATCTTTAAAAATGTCATTAATTAACAAGATAGCAATGTCAGTTATTAATTATTGACATTTTTAAAGATATAAGCTCATCCCGATGTTACAATGATCAAGAGCTTTCATTTGAATACCCACATGCGAACTTACGAATTATTTGTTTCGAATCGAATATTAATATTCGATTCAAAATTCGAATCGAATAATTTGAATCTTCAAATTATACGAAATTCGACAAATAATTCGAATAATTCTAAAAATTACGAATAATTCGAAAAAATTCGAATTATTCGAATTCTTTCGAATTATTCGTCGAATTTCGATTAATTCAAAAATTCGAATTATTCGATTCGAATTTCAAATCGAATATCAATACTCGATTGGAACGTATATATATATATATATATATATATATATATATATATATATATATATATATAAATATATAAATATATGAAAAATTGATGTGGGTATTTAAATGAAAGGTCTTGACGAGTGAAACATCGGGATGAGTTTATATCTTCAAAAATGTCAATAGTTCACAAGATACAAATAATATAAAAAAAACTAAACTTAGAGAAAAATAAATAATTAGTGGTAATAATAATAATCAAAGTACAATCCGTTTATATAACTTGTTTCTAAAGTTCACATCTACATTTGCTCCTTCTTCAGTACAAGTACCTTCGGTTAGAGCTGAGGTGAGCGACAATTGTTAGCTATGATGTACTGCAGGCATATTAGAATGATATGATACTTCTGGTTCTACTCCCTTGTACAAACTACCAGGTAGAGATAGAGAGCTTTGGTTGAATCAGAGAGATGTGATAGTGGAGCAAGTCTTTGAAGACACGTCCTATCGTGTTGAGCTGGAAGTTACGGAACTTGGAAATGGAAGTTGGGTATGTATAGCAACAGCAATGGCAGTAGCATTACCAGAATACCCGTGGGAATAAGAACATCAGTATAGATGTCCACTCTGACAGCCCACAAAAGGATATGGTGGCATTATCTCCATCTCACGAATATTTTATAAGGGACTGGATATTTTTGCAGTGATCGATATGCTTCCTCATGTATCATGACTATTTTAATAGCTTGTTTCAGCGTTATATTAATCAATGCATCAGATATTGTGTGGACAGTTTCAAATTTGCTGGAGCGGATGTATTAAGGTGATTTTATGTAATATGGAGTAAAGAGAATAATTATTGTGAAAATGGACACAAAAAAATTAACAAAAATCAAGGAAAAAACTCTTGAACAAAAATTAAAATTTTTGTTATTAAATCAAAGAAAATAATTAAAATAAAAAAGTTTTTAAAAATTATTATTATGCAGTAAAATTTTAATAAGTCAATTTTAAAAATTGTAAATATTACAATTATTTTCTCTGTGTAATTAATGTTATATTAATTTTTACACTTAATATGATATTAAGAAACTTTAATTAGAAAAAAAAAAAAAAGTGCTTTGTACTAGATTTTTAAAGTCAACATTCAATTATGAAGTATTCCGGCGTTCTTTTGTGAATTTAAAGACCAGAATTTCAAAACATAATAAACAATATTGTGCCTGCAATTCCTTGACTACAATATTGATCTAGCATTCTATTAAATAAATGAAATCGGAAAGATACTAGATTTTTTTTAACAACAAATGCTGACTTTAATAGAGTTAAAAATTTTTGTTTATTTTAAAATGATAAAATATTTAAAAATAAATGTGCAAGTGATTAATTATTAATAATTGTCGTCCAGTAACCCGAAAACCGGATAAATAAATCCTTACATTTGTCTTGGGAAATTTATTCACAATTCGAAAGCCATTAATCCATTAAGATGCCCATTAGACGGTGCTCTACTTAACGCCGCTCTACTTATACATATACATAGGTAATTGTCATGTATAGTGTAGGATGTATTCAGTGGAGAATATTCATGAGAAATGAGAATCGATAGTCGCATGGCGAAATTGAATCAGTGAGTTGTGCGTTTGAAACGGAGTTATAACCAATTGAAGTTGTCATCCGAGTTTAACTACTCGAAACCTGACGGAAAACTTATTAAAGCGCCTGAGTACAACTTGTTACTCTGCGGTATTTTAATATCCGCTGCTCAATACTTGCTCGAGTAACTTACGCCGTAACTTTATTTAAATATTTTATAAACTCTCCGCTCAACTATTGAATCACAGAAATTATTTTTTTACTTAACTTTTTATGCCAGTCATTTTATTTTCGTGACATTTGTAATTGGCCCACTTAAGCCCGCTCAGCGATTTAAACATTTTCATTGTCGAGCTGGACTCTTGAAACCGCTAAATTTATCGATACTTTCTGAAACTCGATGCTGAGCTTTTTACAACTTTGACAGGCTATCCAATTATTATATAAATTATCGAGGATTTTACTGAATCAATTTGCTGAAGTTTTCTCCTTCAGGATTAAAATGTTAATTAGAATGAATTATTTTGGTTACAGGTACGATTTGGAAACAGAAAAACTCTACTCGGTGCTTTGGTACAAAGACAATGAAGAGTTTTATAAGTATGTTAATACGGATAAAAGCCAACACATTTATCAAGTCGATGGAATCAAAGTTGACGTGAGTGAAAAAAAATTTTTTAATAATTAAAAAAATATAAAACACAATTAATGTATGATTTCTTTTACGAAAAAAAAATTTTTTGACAAGCTCAATTTTAATGTAAGGCTTTATATAGCTATATATAAAATAAAAAATAATTGTTTTTTATAATTATTAATTAAATATTGTGATAATCTCTAAAAAACCTCAAAATTGAATGTATTATTTATATTTTAAAATTTAATTCTCTTCTATTGAGAAAATTTAGCGACCATGCGACACCTGTCGGATAATTTTGAAACTTTCTATCAAAAAAAATTATATGTGGCAATATCAAGCCTGCGAAATCTTAATTTTGATGTCAGAAAATTTTTTACTAGTTAATTATTTATATTCTTGAATTTTGAGTAAAAATGCAAATAATTGAACTCAAAATTTTCTCTGTAACTTTTAACACTCAAATTTTTTTTCCATTAAAAAATACCTAGCTCAGCAGTAAAAAAACAGAGACTTAAAAAATGATAACTGACAATTTTTTATAGCGTGAGTTTCTCTCAACTCTCAGCATTACGTTACACACAGAGATATATTTATATATTTTTTTATTTCTCTTAAATTTTTATCTCTTCTCCGGATCCTCGAGCAATTTTAACAAAATATCTCAATGGTATCGAAACTCGCGTAATCGAGTTTACGTAGAATCGTCAGTTCTATTCTTTTTTGCCGGCAATGAGGTTTCTGAAGCGAAAAACGATACAGAAAATGTCTTATTGGGAATGGAGGATCAGAAGAAGGAGCAAGATTTTCGTGTGGGTCGGGCACGCGTGCCTTATATTACTGCACCAGTACTGTAGATACTTATACTAGTAGTAGTGCAGTCCACAGTCATTTCTTCTCCTCTTCAGCTCTCGTCGCGATTCAACTCTTTTTATTTTATTCAAACTTCCCCGTCTCTCTGGCGTAATGTGGAGGCACTCGCGCCCGAGGGTTGTCTGCATAAAATATTTCAATTTATTCGCCAAACGTACACCGACGTAGTCGTGTATAATAAAGTCGCATATTCAAAGCGGCAATAAAAATAAACCTCTGCTTTATACTTGTTTTTTTCTTTCATACTTGATGCCTTTTTTATTTTATCATTATTTTTACATCTTCATTTTAGTATGAATACTTACAGAGTTTGTTTTAAATTAATCTAAATATTTACTTTTATTTTTTTATCGGATATTTTTTTTTTTACTGATAAAGAAATTTTTATATTAATTTTTTTTTTTTAATTATTCGCAATTAAACATTTAATTTATCAATAAATTTTACATTTAAATTTATCTTTTTTTTTTTTTTGATTAAAAAAAATCACTTGGATATATATTTGACGATTTTTATTAATAAATTTTATTGCAAAAACAAGAAATGCAAATTACAAACGATAAAAAAAAATGTTGAAAGGTCGGGAGGAATGTTAACTTTGAAAAATACCCCGAGCAATTATAAAGAAAAAAAAATTTTAACGTTTGAAATTTTATCAGATGCTTTGATGTACAACCGAGATATATTTTATAACAGTATCTGTTTCCTTTGCTGTTTTCCTGCAATTGGTTAAAAAAAAAATAGCTGACATAATTTAGTTGAAAACAAGTAAAACTTTTAGCTGCAAAACTTAAAACAATTTTTTTCATTATTATTGAAAGTAAATGTAAGAATTTTTTTGATGATTAATTTTATAAAAAAATATCTACTAAATGAATTTCCAGAATAAATATTTTAAGCAATTAACTCTCGACTAAGTATTTAATTGAGTTTTTTTTACTATATTACATTACATTTAGACGCAAAAATAAATAGTAAAAACTCGGAGAACAATTCTGCGCAAAATAACAATCAATCGAATTAAATGTTATTTTCTATTACAATAAAATAAAAAAAAATGTTTTTACCGCTTCGTTACTTTTTTTAACAATGTGGTTTATTTATTTTTTGGTTATTTATTTTTTATTAAAAATAAATTCTGCATGCGCAAATCTTTTTAAGAATAAAATAGTACAGAACAAATAACAATAAAAATAAAAATGATCGAGGTTTGGTGAATGAATTTACACGTTGTCTATTTGATCTGCATGTCTATTGCACACCGACAGGTTTCAGGAATAAGCTGAAAATATATATATATATGTATAAATAGTGGGATAGAGATAAATAGAGATTGAGATGCTGGAACAAAAACCAATGTAATATACGTTTTAGAACTAAAGAATAGCTCCAAGTGTAGAGTGATAGATGTTCAAATAAATATAAAATACAAACAAAATTGAGTCTCTAAGCTACGATATTTTTATTATTATTATAATTTTTTTATAAATTTTCTGAACAATTTTCAAACTTATTGTGTTTTTATATCTCGTGAATTTTACTAATTAATAACATTTATCAATAACTATTAAGTCTATTGATCTCAAAATTTCAATAGATCTATGTAAAAGTAATTAATATTTTTTTTTTCTATATCAACAATACAACTCTTTGATTTATTTTATCAATTTTATATTTATTATAGCTGATAATTCTCTACCAATATTTCAACATTAATAAATAAATATTCCCCCTTTTTAATAGACCGAAATATGTTTCAATATTGAATTTTATTAAACGAACAAATTATGGAATTTTATTTAAAACTCACAAAAATTTTTATTAATTTTGTGCTTCGCATTCCAAAAGTTTTAAATTGTCAATTTTATTGAATACAAGTCTAAAATACAAGGCTTGCAAGTCTTCAAAAAAAAAAGTTTTTAACTTATTAAATCTTAATAATTAAAAACTAAGTCTAATAAATAAAAAATTTTAATTTAATATATTAAAGATTAGAATAAGGATAAAGTAAGTGCAATTCACCGAATTATTATGCTGAGTTATCGTCTAATTTGGTGAAATTAAAATTCTATATTTTAAATTATTATTTTCTCTATTAATTTCCAAGTTTAATTTGATTTTACTTTGTTTATATAAAAATTATTTTAATTAATATTTATGCAATATTATATTATTGTTTTCTTGTAAAAACTGTTAAGTTAAAAACTGTTGTTAAAAATAAAATTATGAATTTCAGCATCGGAATTCAGATGGACAGCGCGTGATCCTCCAGCGGGTGAACTTGGACACCACTGGCGTGTACAAATGCGAGGTGAGCGCGGAGGCTCCACACTTTGCATCAACTTACGGGGAGGCGTACATGGAGGTAGTCGGTAAGTAAAGTAAAAGGTAAAAATCCCCTGGATTAATTGGAGCCGGGGAAAAAACTCGGTGCAAAAAAAAAGTAATGTTGAAGTAGAATCGCTTATCGGGAAGCAATTATCATGAGCGTCCGGCAATCGATCGTAAGCAATTTGTCCACCTTATCTCCAATGTGTTTTCTCCCTTTTTATTTTATTTCTCTCGTACTTGGACAGATATAGATAGAGAGATAGAGAGATAGACATTACATACATATATATAAATATATATGAGTATCGAATCTAGGTGACTACAAGTCCTCCACTCGTATCGTGACCGCACGAGATCGCCGACGTGTTTACGATGGAACCGTTGTAGCCGTCTAAAAAATGTCGCTTGTGTACACATTTCCCGACTAAAATACATAAATAAATCCTATCTTCTCGCCACCGTCATCTCTCTTTATCTCTAACGGTATTATGGCCACCCCTATTGATTATTTCACTCCAATTTCATTTAAAGCTTGTACTAAAGACGTCGAATCGGGGCTGTTAATTTGTAACGAGGTTATTCGAGTCTGCAAACTGGGAAACTGTTTTCGCATTCGAGACGACCTTTATTTTAAACACCATTCGAGGGTGAAATTCTGATGCGGTTCTTATGTTATGCATTTGTCTGCTGTTTAATTGATTAAAAATATATTTAAGTAAGGTTGACAATTAAAAAGAAATTGTTTACAATTAAAAAATGAAGATTTATGACAGAATTTGGAATGTAAAAATTAAAAGATTTATAAATTATACGGAAAAAAAAATTTATTTTGATGGAATTAAATTTTTTTAACCAAGTAAGGTAAAAGACCCAATTATTGACACTGGCCTAGTTGTTTGACACTTGCAATTTTATTCTAATTAAAAAAATTAAATGTTTTCAAAAAACCAATTTTCTTAAAATTTATGATTCAAAAATTATATTTATTAATTTATTACAGTTGATTTGCTTTTTGTAATTAAAATAAAATTGCAAGTGTCAATAACTGGGTCCTATACCTTAAATTGGCTTAATATAATTTCTTTTTGATTCAAAATTATATTGAAATTTTTTTGAAATAAATTATTTTTTTAATTTTTATTTAATATTAAAAAAATTTTCTAATATTATTCTGACATTAAAAAGTGTTTTTATTACTGGAAAATTTTTTTGGTCTTAATTTTCAGAATTTTATGATAAAAAAAAAAAAATTATATTTAATATTAATTGTTAAAAATGAAAAATTTAACAAATTTTTGAGATATATATTAAATGTTTAAAATGTATAAAGACTTTATAAATTAATTTTTTATTTCTAATTTCTAATTCTGGACCATTTCCGATATTTTATTTTTATTATTGCAATCATAACACTGAAAAAAAACTAAAATTATTACAGTTAAAAAAAAATCTAAATATATTGAGATTTTTCATGTTAAGAAAAATGAAGCAAGCGGAATTTTCCCCACACTGAAAAAAAAGTTTTTTTATACCCGGAATACTGAATATTTTTTAATCGAATTTTCTTGTAGTTAGTAAAAGTCAAGTTAAATATTTTAGATTTAAGAAAACTGGTATTTTAAATCTGAGAATACCAAGTTTTTTAACAGGACTAAAACTAAATTCTATGTTACCATAGCAACCGTGACGGTGGCGCCACTATTTTGTCATTTCCCTCCAATCTACAGTGTACACGTGTTTTTTAGTTATTAGTTTACCTCATGCCTGAGTCTACTTATCTAAATATTTATTTGTGTAAATTAAATAATTTATAAATTATAAATAAAAGTATTAATTATTAATATTACTTCCCCTTACTCCCTTACTTATATGGATTCTTGGATGCAAAAGAAGTTGTCAGAGTGGAATTTATCATCTCCAACAAATTTATAACTCATTTTAGCAATACATTCTTTCCTTATAATCAATTTTTATATTTTTATAATGAGGTAAAAGATCCAGTTATTTTCACTGGCCTATAGTTGTTTGACACTGGCAATTTTATTCTAATTAAAAAAATAAAATGTTCTCAAAAAACCAATTATTTTAAAATTTATAATTCAAATATAATGTTAATTAAATTATCAGAGTTGATTTTTTTTTTTTTAATTAAAATAAAATTGCAAGTGTCAATAACTAGGTCTTTTACCTTAGTAATGTTATTAGTAAATTAGTAAAATAATGCTATTAGCAAGAAATCAGAAATTTTTTAACAACAATAAGAATTAAAAATAAGAAAAGAAAGGCTTAATATACTATTTTCCATTTTTATTAATTTTAGTGTGATAGATTGTTTATAAATGAAGAATTATAAAAAGTATAGTTTCTCATAATTATCCCTACAATAAAAATACATGACAGTTTGAAGTTAGTCAATAGTCGAAAAAATGGGACCTGATTCCTTATTGGTAGAATATAAACCCTCCTCAGTTACTATTGGTCAATCTCCTGGTACGTGAACATATCAATATATTGATATAAATCGAACAGGATAAATTCATTCTAGAATTCCGATAGGGGGCGCGCGAATGCGCGCCGTTAAAAATTCTAGTCTATCCTAAAGATTCGTGTCGACCAAGCGAGGTTAAGTCGGCCATATTGATTGTAGTATTTTAATAATGAGAATACCAAGTTTTTTTTATATCCAGTAAACTTATTCCTATGGATAGTAAACTTTGGTATTCTTATTTTAGGAATACTTTTTTTTTTAACCACAGGAAAAAGTTTTCTAGGAGGAAAAAAACTTTTTTTTCAGTGCACTAAAATATATTTCTTTTAATGAACGCAAATAATTGAACGATCCATAACCCAGAGAGTTCCGTTGCATGGTATAAATATAGGATAAAAAAGCCCTCGAGTTGCAACTTAATTGAGATTCCAGTTTTAATAGCGCTTTGCATGAGGTAAATCCAAAGCGGTTAATGCGAATAATTAATGAAAAAAGAAATCTTTTTATTCAATCTCATCGCTCATTACCTTACGCTCTCTTTCCTGTGTTCTGTGTTCTGTTTGAACTCACAGAAATAAAGCTCTAAATTATAAAATATGTATGAGGTTGCTTATGTTGACAGTGATGCCATCCAATACACCAAAGATCACCGGGAAGGAGGCTTTCTATGCCAGCGGTGACATTTTGTCGCTCAATTGCACCAGCGAGAAGTCCCATCCTCCCGCTAAAATCACGTGGTACATCAACAATGTTGAGGTTAATTATTATCTTTATTAGTAATTATTATTCTGAAAATTTATAAATTATTAATTATCAATTTTTCTATAAAAAAAACCTTTTAAAGGCTTTAATATAAAATAATTGATATTAAAAATAGTACTTTTTATTATTATTATTTCTGAAGTAAAAAAAGAAAACAATTAATTGAAAGTTATTACTTAAAGAAGAGTACAGATTGAGTTAATGAGCTAAAGCTCCAATCAACGTAAGAACGGTTTTTCTTATTAAATCTTTCAGCAAAATTTTTTATCATAATCGGGATAATTTTTTTTTCTTAAGCTTTAAGCTCAACTAATTGATTCGCTCTATAAACATTGACCATCATTCCACCGAGTGAGGAACATTTAATTGCTGTATTATTTACAAAGAAAAAAAAATGAAAAAATCTATACTATCTAATTGGAGAGAAAACTCTTCCTTAGTCGTTGAATGAGCGGAAGTAAAATTATTATTTTTTATTTAGTAGAGAAAATATGAGAATTATTAAATTATCGAGAAAAATAATGATCAGTGTCGAGAGCGCCAATTAGTGGAATAATTAAGAAAAGTTTGGTCAGCAGAAAATTTTAAGAACTTTTTAAAAAAATGAATAATTGAAAGAAAATCTGGGATAAAAAAAATACATTTATTTTTTTTTGTAACAATTTTTGTGCACAAAAAAAAAAATTTAATCGAGAATATTTTTGCCGTAAAAAATTAGTTTTTTACGGAAGGAATTTTTTTTTTCAGGTCGAAGCCGACTCCACGAGGACAATAATTCATCGAGATCGATTAGTGACAACGATATCGACTCTACGCCTTGAATTAGGCCCGCACCATCTCTCTAGCGGGGAGAGTAAAGTAAAGTAAGCTCAAAAAAATGATTAAAAAATGAAACGGGTTTATTTAAATATATATTTATTTATTTATTCGCAGATGCAAATCCAGGGTAGAAACGAGTGAAAGAGCCCGCGAAGCCCTGGTGGATGATCGCATTACCGAAGTAGCAGGTAAGCGACCGGGCTCGGTATTAATTCAAACGATTCTGAAATAAGAGTAAAAATCCGCAAGTAGGTCACCGTTAAACGCTGACTTAAACTTTTATTTTCTCCATCGAGTTTTTCCGAGTGGAGAAAAGTAATAAAAAAAAAAAGGGGAAAGAAAGTCCTTTTCTAGGACCGGAAAATTCGCGACTTAATAATTACAGCAGTTTCTCATTACCGGAGAGCGATTCTCTAATTATCGTAGCAGCAGCAGAGTGAAACGGGTTGAATTTGGTTTAAACCGCCGATCGTTGACGGTAAATTCAATTTGCCCGACGTTTACAGTTCCCAGTACGATAATGGGATTATCAATTAACCGAATCGGGTATTCCGCTGCAACAATTATTTATTTCTAATCATTCCGATCAGTATCTGAAGTTATACCGACCACTCAAATAATATTATCTCCCGCTGCTCACTCCTCCTTGCTCATTAACGAGTATAGTAGAGTTACAAGTTGATGTATACCCTTTACAAGTCAATCATGCTATTTTAATTACAGAAATTTACTACCGACTATCCATTATTATTATTATTATTTTTTTTTTTTTACTGGAAGCTTTTTATTTCTTCTGAATTGATAAAAAAAAAATTAGCAATTAATTAAATGAGTAAATAAATTTATTTATTCATTTAAAAATAATTTATAGAATATGAAAATTATTTTTCAATTTTTAATTTTTAATTTATTTTAATTTATCTTGTGAACTATTGACATTTTTAAAGATATAAGCTCATCCCGATATTACACTCATCAAGACCTTTCATTTGAGTACCCACATCAATTTTTCATATATTTTATATATTTATATATATTATATATATGAATATATCAAAAATATATCAAAAATGCATGTGGGTACTCAAATGGAAGCTCTTGATGAGTGTAACATCAGGATGAGCTTATATCTTTAAAATATATATTATATATATATGTATATATGAAAAATATATCAAAATGCATGTGGGTACTCAAATGAAAGCTCTTGATGAGTGTAACATCAGGATGACCTTATATCTTTAAAAATGTCAATCGTAAAAAAATTACAGTGCAATTTAACAAAAGTCATTATTTAATAAAGCAAAATTTTTTGAATATTAATAAATTTCATGAAATAAATTGATTAATTATTAATTATAAATATTAATTGTACGAGTTCTATTTCTTTATTGGCTAAAAAAAAAAAAAAAAATAAATAAAACTACTGAAGTAAAAAGTAAAAATTGAGTTAATTAAATTAAAAAACTCGAGAATCTTGAGTTGATACCGTCTGAAAGTAATTTTAAAAATAAATTGCACTGGAATGAATATTTATACTGAAATTCTCTCTGTGTTTAATTCCCGGTGAGTAAACTTTCGGGTAATGATTTCAAGGCAGATAGTGAGTGATGAAAAAGGAGGAAAGCAAGAACAAGAACAAGAACGGAGGCAAGAACACATAGCAGCTAAAAGTTGGAATGAACGAGACAACAAGCTTGACGTGGTTAGTCGGGTGTTTACGCGTGGCGTCTATTTAACATTTAATTCCGGGCAGGGTTAATTTAAATCGCAATTAGACAGTAACTTATGGCACTGGGAGCACGGGGAGCCCGAGAAACGGTGCGGCAGCCCGCTAGCAATAAGCTACGGTCTAAGTAAAGGCTAAGAGTAACATCAACAGCCAGTGTAAGTGTAAATGTAAGAGTTAGAGTAAGAGTTAAGTACGCCGCTGTAAATTATTGTTTTAATTTCTGCTCGCGTACTCTATACTACCTCGCTGCTGAGATGTCCGAGCCGTATCTGCGCCACCGCTAATTTTATGAGCTTGTAAAATCTATATAACTCGCTAATTTGCTTAAACACCGGCTACGATAAGTGATTTTAGTTGGTTGTTTATTCGAGTAGTTATAACTGTGATTACTTTTAGGGATCTCGCGATCAAAGTTATTATTTTAATTATTATTATTACAATTTTTTTTTTAATTATAAATAATTCTGCGTGGAGAAAAAATAATAAATTAAAAAAATTATTTTTACCAAGTAATCAATTTAATATTCGTTTATAATAACAATAATAATATTTTTAATTAAATTATTTAAATAAAATGTATTTAGACTGTTGCTACTTGACAATGTCGAAAAATGACCTTTAAAAAATTTTAAATTCGACAATTTGCTAATTAAAATGTCAAAATTTAATTCCAAAATAATTATTTTTAAAAATTTTAACCCTGAATTAAATAAATAAATTTTTAAGTTACAAAATTATTTTTAATGCAAGTAAATTTTACTTAATTAAAATATCTTCTTGATTTAAGATGAATAATTTCTTAAAAATAATTTTCTGGGTTATTTTAATTAAGTTAATTTTGACGTTCTAATTATCAAATTGTCTAACTCCATTTTAGAGAATCTTCCATTTTTACGAAAAAACAATTAGTTAGAAATTTATTATCCCACTTAAAATTTATTATCTCACTTTAAAAAACAATTTAATATTTAATAGAGGCATAATATTTTGGTTTGGATCATTTAAATAATTTATAATTGAACAATTGCTCTATTAAAATAAGAAGTTAGGCCAATTGTTATTTAGACCGTCGATTTGATAAATAGTTATAATTTATAATAATAAATCTCTTAAAAAAAAAACGTCAAACTTTGAAAACTCACATCTCATTAAAACCGTAATAACTAATTCATGATAAATGTTAGTAAAAAATATTCGCAAGTACTTAACAATTCAAAATAAACCTCGGAAAGAAGAGACATTTAAATAATAACCTAAAACAAAAGAAATTCCCATCTAAAATTAGTCCGTCAAGAGCTACATGCAGTCCGCAAAAAAAAAAGGAAATAAAACAGCATAAAACAAACCTCGGTCTGTTGATTTTAATTTGAATCGTAATTGGCTCGTCTCGTTAAACAACTAATTATACAGCCCGCTTATAAGTATCTCCTCTCCTTCGATCCGTATGAAATAATAAAATATAATAAAATAAAATATGATACCCGAGTAACGTTAACTATAACCGTTATATCTGGAGCAAAATTATCAAGCAAAGCCACGATCCAATTTTAGTTGGCTCTCTTTATCTGGACTATATGTCTCGAGAGAAAATGGCCTTATAAAAAAGCTCCCTGCGGACAAAACCCATGACTTGTGTGTTCCTCTCTGCTCTTCCTCTTCTCATTTTATTCAACAGAATTCTCCTCAGCTCTTTACTGGAAACCCTGCACTCATTTATAACTCTCTCTCTCTCTCATCTTATCCTTACACTTTTCCTGCACGTGATGATCCCTCATCGCCCCGTGCTGGCTTTCATTGGAATTGGCTGTTTCGCTCGGATATAATCGTGAGGGGACGTTGAGATTCTTCCTTTCTTTTTTTTTTTTTTGTTTAATTCCACCAAAACAGAATTTACACCACCGCAACTTTCTTTCCGTGTGTGTAGAGAAGCAGGTGCAGATACGAACCGATTATTTTGCCGTTTCAGCCGCCATTTTAGCACCACTGACCCAGGAGAAAAGTCCGCGGAAGAAAGAACAAAGAACAGAGATAAAGAGAACGACAAAAAGAAGAAGCTTTTACCGTTGTAACACATCCCCTTTGGTTAGCTCGAGAGGAAACGCCGAAAGACAAAGACCGAGGGAGCGGTAAAATGCGAAAGGTGTACCGAGAAAACTCGGGTTTACTTCTATCCGCTGAACGATTCGTCTAACGAGAAAATCGAAGATGGTTAAGAGCAATTTCTTCGAGTCGTTCCCCGGCTCCCGGCTCCCGGCTCCCCGGCCTCCTCTCCATTTTCCATCTTCCATCTTGCGCTATATTAGTTTTGTCCTTTCCTATTTTTATTTCTCAGACTCACGCTACTCCATTTATCGCTGATTCTGTACACAGTACGGCGAACTCACCTCGGTACCTGAATCCGCCACCGATTTACCGGAAACTTTTCGCCCGTCGTCATTCGCACGTACTTTTTCCATCGCTGTTTTTCAAACTTTATTTCCTGTTTCGAATCCTTTACGTTTTCTGTCTGGTACCTACAGCTACTAGGTGTCTGCACCTATTGATTTTATTAAACGCTCAACAAGTTCCATTCCACCATTCAATTGCCCGTGATTCAATTTTATAAATTAACGAGTATTATAAACATTATTATTGCAACAGATAACTGGAGTTTATTTCTTATTAATTTTTTTCTGTACTGTATAATGGGTTGGTGCAAAAAAAAAAGGATTTTTTTTTATACTTTAAAAAAGCTTCTCTTCACAGAAAAATGTTCTTGAATCAAGTATGCAATTTTAAAGAACTTAATCTTCTTGATTTGAATAGAAAAATTCTTAAACTAAGAAATTTCTCTTGGCTTAAGTAAATTTTACTTAATTCAAGAACTTTTCGTCTTGATTCCGTCTTGACCCTCTTCAAAATTATTTTCTTGGTTCAAGAATTTTTCTCTCGAATCAAATTAATTTTTTTTCAAAAAAATCAATTTGATAAAAATAATTTTAGAGATCGCTTAAGATTTTTTATAATTATAAAATCCTTAAAAATTGAACTTTTGTTTGCTTTTTATATTTTGTAGGTTAAAAATTATAGAAATTTTGATTTTCTAAAGCCACTTAAAATTTTTCAATCCTTCGAAAATCGTCAAAAAATTAAATTTTTTTATTATAAATTTTTTTTCTCGTTATTTTTATATTTTTTAAATTAAAAATTATAGAAATTTCAATTTTTTAAATTCACTCAAAATTAAAAAAAAAAAATCAATTTTTTAACTTTCAATTTTTCAGATTAAAAATTATGAAAATTTTAATTTTTTTAACTCATTAAAAAATTTAATAGCGAGCTAATCTTTACAAAAAAACCCTCAAAACATGACTAACTACCAAATTTTCCCAAAAATTACTTACTTACTCTTTTAATTACTTTAATAAAATAAATTTCACCAAAAAAAAAAATAATTAACCACCTCAAAATAAAACGTTCGAATTAATTATTGTTTCAGTCCGTGGGAGCGGAAATTTTATCAGGCCGAGTCTGTCGCTGGTGTTGGTAGCAGTGATAGTATTACTGGATCGGATAGTGAGGATGAATTGAAAGCGCTTGGTAAGTACGGCGAAAGGTTTCAGATTGTTCTGTAAGCCTCGAAGCAACAAAGGGCTGTGAACATTGGGATAAAGCTAAAGGAGTATGTGAATGCGTGTAGCACGTACAATACCAAGTAGAAGGAGGGATCTGAAATAGAGCAGTAGCCCCATACCATGCCAGTAGAGTGTGCGAGGATAAATATAATGTTTCCGCTATAGTTAACTATAAATATATAACTATAGCGATGCGATGGCTCTGCTCGTATTGGTGGTAGAACGTATCGTTCGTTGTATACCAACCAGTGTTCCATGACCAAAGACAATCATGTTCAGATATAATGGGATATTGTTTGAGATATTTCCAGACGGGACGGAATGGAGTTCGGTACCGGATAAATTAATTAATCGTCATATGTACAGCCCGTGTGTGCTTTATTTGTTAAACTTGTATCTGCTAATCTTTGTTTACTTATTACGCAAGGATTTATTTGTCTTCAGTTCCTCGGCCCTTTGTTCTCTCCCGCTGTTATTTATACATTATATTTTATATATTACCATTATTGTACTTTCTATTTTATAGTCTTAGTTTGTTTGTCCGCGGTATCAGCTTCGCGGGTTCCATTCGTAAGCCCTATTTCTGGAACTAGATGCTAATACTGCCGATAAATCTTCTCTCGGTTAATTTCATATCAACGATTATTTATTATTTTTCTGTACAAAAGTTCGGTTACAAGTTTAATAAATGACCTATTGTGCTCTTAGGCAGATATTGTATCGTTATTTATGCTCGGGTGGAAAAAATCATCATTCATTTTTTATTTTATTTATTTACTGAGCTTTGTTTCAATCTTTATCATCCTTATTAGTGCACAGTTAAAAATTTTGCGTCAAAAAATTTTGTGTTAAAAATTTTTGGGTTAAAAATTTTTGTGTTAAATATTTAAGACTTTTATGTATAAATTTAACATTTGTTATGTTAAATTAACACAAAAAAGTGTTAAATATTAAACATAAAAATTTTTAACGCAAAATTTTTTACTCTGTGATTTTAAATGTTAATTTAAAAATTAATAATGATTTTTGGGACTTAATTTTTGGAAAATATTTTTTTATGGGTCGTTTTAATAAATAAAATTATTTTTCTGGTTTTTAAATTTTGTGATATTTTTTATTAAGAAAAATTCAAAAAATTATTTTTAATTTTTAGACAAATTTTAAAAACATCGGAGAAAAATAATTTTATTTGGTAAAATGATTCATTGGGAATTTTAGTAGGTTCAAAAAAAAAATAATTATTTTTTTCACTCGAACAGTACATTCATTAAGTGAACAATTAAACCGGTAAAATGAATAAAAAGAAAAAATAAAGTGTAAATATAAATTTTGGCATTGAGGAAGATAGATAAATAATTATAATTATAAATGAAATATATTTGAATTGTTGACTAACGAGACAAAGTTGGACGTTGATAAATAAAATAAAATAAGTGTATAAAGTTTTATTTTTTTGTCTTATAAAAGGTGACAAAGTCTTTTGTGGATAAAATTAGCTGAATAAATTTTAAATGAACGCTGAATAATTTTTGATAAGTAGCTAAGTGTATATACGAATGAGCGATTTATCGAGAGTTTAAATATTATTATTATTATTATTATTGCAATTATCATATTTACAATATAGATAAGAAGGAGTAAAAAGTGACTTGAGCTTTTATCTCCAACAAAAAAAAATAAAATATTGTAGGACAAAAGTTCACTTTAATTTTAATTTCTTAAAAAAATTTTTTTTTATAGCAAAAAATTGCCATTAAAAAAAAAATTTTTTTCTCTACTTGCTCTATTTTTAATGAACTTTAAAGAAAAAAATATTTGATTGATCAAAAAAAATTCCAAACCTCATTTTTATCCATTAAATAAATCTCTTATTAGTCTTTTAATGAAATTTTTGGGATAGATTTGAGAAAATATGAAGTGATACTTTTTTTTGTGGGGGATAAAAGCTCAGGTAACTCAACTGGATAGGATAAAAAGCTAAAAAATAAGTTATCAAGCGTATGTGATGGGTGATAAGTCTTGAGAAAATAAAAGCAGTAAGAGCGTGGAGGTAAAGAGGCGGAGCGGAGAGACAAAAGTGCTCACGGTACAATTACAGAAATAGGAGGTCAATGGGTTTTTAGTCGGGAAAATTCCGACAAAAGATCAGAGTAGAGGGATGCTGATAAAAGGTTAGAGGAATTGGATGTAGAATAAAGTAGAGCAAAATACCGAGAGCTCCGATAGTCACCTTAAAGAGAGTAGAATTTCGTGCTCTTTTTGTGGTCGGAGCACACACTAAAATTGAGTTTTCTTCAGCCTTATCTCATCAGACGTATCACCTACTGAACCTGAAAGAGATATCCCTGAAATTTCATTACTCTAATGGCAATGGGGATAATGAAATAAAAATAAACAAAGTGAATGGAAAGTACGGATGAGCAGCTTTCAAGATGCAATAGATGCTTCGCTCTGCTGGTTCATATTTTTTCATTTCTTTCTTATCCTTTCGGAGCAAGAAATTCTATAGATTTCTTAGATTAAAATTTTACTTTTTATTTTTTTATAAATTTTTTGTTTGATAAAAATATAAAGTGAAGTAAAAGCACCAATTATTGACGGCCTAATTTATTTTATGATAAATTTAATTATCTTGGACGATAATAATAATTTTACACATTAAAAAAAAAATCTTTATAATTTAGAAAATTGAAAAAAATTTTTTTAATAAAAAATTTTAAACATTTATTGATAAAAAAAAATTATTAAAATTATAAAAAAAAAGTTTTTTTAAACTATTGTGTCAATGATTTGGAATTTTTTTTTATAAAAAAAAAAAATTATTTTTAAAATGTGAACCAGCAGTCCGAAAGATTAAATAACAATCAAAATAATTTTTGCCGATAAAATCATCCCTGGAACAAAAAAATGTTAATTGTAAAATGTAAATTATTATAAATACGTAATTAATGAATATTAATAAGAATAATTATATAAATATAAATATGAAAATAATAAATTGTACATGATAAACATGTTTGTAAATAAATGCATAAATGTACGACCCTCGAAACAATGTATAACGATTGTCTTAATGCCTAGACACGATGACAAGGAAAGCTCGTAGAATAATTATTGCGTGTGCCTGGAGCTAAATTATACCTGCTCTTATTAGACACCCTTGAGGCGTTCACTAAATATTAAATATTAAATATTAATTATTAAATATTACGTATTTATGTGTATGGCCTAATGTATATATACTTTGCATATTTAGTAATAAATTAATAAAAATATTATTTGAAAACTTACTTTACTTTTATTTAATACTTACCTGCTGTTTCTATTTTATTATATATTCTGATAAGTTATTACTAGAATAGAATAAGGTGTCGATGGTGATTTATAATTAAATCACTGTCAATTATTACTAATATTATCTTTAAGGGGGTATATTATGAGTTATTTTACTGAAATTATTTCTAAAACTTTAAACGCGATTTTCTCGAAACTACTTTTTTTAAAGTGGTTGACATGATATATTAAGTTCTACCGCACCGATTCCTTTGAAATTTAGTGGGAATTTGTTTTATATATCTCTCTATCGCGTCTGCTGTGGATTTCAAAAAATTTCAATTTAGAGTATTTTTAAAAAATTCGAAAAGGTCATAAAAAAGGGTAAAAAAAAATTGATATTTTATGTCGACGCCATTTTGTGAATTTTTTTTTTTTTTTTGACTATAGTCAACGCGATAGCGACATCTTTACAGATTGAGAATTTCTTAAATTTTTTTGTTTCATATCACTACAAGGGCTGGAATCATGTCAACCAGAGTGCACCGTTTTTTTTGTAGCCCCCACTTCACCGCCCTGTAATTTGTCAAATTTATCATTTTTTTTTTTTTAATTTTTTTTTACATTCTTGAAAGCAATAAACATCATATAAAAAAAACGGATTATAAAAATGTTTTTCATTTTTTTTTTTATGTTAGTTTGAAAAATGCCTAAAATTTAGGCTTCTAGACCAGAATACCCCCTTAATTGTGACATTAAAGGTGATGTCAAAATTATCGAGTTATTACGGAGATATTGAATAAATGTCGGATGTAGCCGAATATATTCGTGTATTTTTAGAATAAAAATCATTAAATATCAAGTATTTTAAGTTAAACTTATTATCATAAATCAAATAAAATAAATTAATTGAAGTATTCATATATAAATAGTAATTTGATATTTTGTTTGACAACTTGGTCATCGGATATTCCAACTGAAACCATGCCCCAGAAACATCTCTCGTAATTTCCAACTCACAACAATTCGATTCGATATCTACGCCCTTTGCTCTAACTCGGAATAAAAAGCCCTTCCAGTAATTTTCCAGCTGAGAATTTCCATAACGCAACTCGAAACTTCAGAGCTATTACTAAAACGCTTTCCATAATTCACTGGACTTAAATTTTTTCGCGCAACGTGTAGTGGATCCACGACAATAAAACCTCGTTAGCGGTCCGATTTCCCGGAGCACACTGTATATATATATATATATATATCTCCGTCTATTTCTATTACTGCTTCTCTTTACACAATACGATCTACGATATACACATACTTCCTACCGTTCCTTCTAATGGCTCGTTGTGTATAAAACGGGCAAGTGCCCTGCTTTGAATATGTATTAATGCAAATTTTATAAATTGAATCGAATAAGAGAGCAATGTTATCATCGGAGATACAATGCGCCAATAATACACAACACAATGCAATATGTGTTTCCACCGACTAGATATTCCCTCGATGTTGACTATCTACTGCTTTATGTAATTATTGGTTTATTTTGCTATTGTAGATCGATGAATTTTTTATCTTATCCAAATATATTATTTTCTCTCTAATATTTTTTTTCAACTTTTCAATAAATTAAAAACTAGCTAATAATATAAATGATATTTATATAAATATATTTTTCTCCAATTT